TATAAATACTTTTATATAATACTATTAGAATGTTTTATTTATTTAAAAGTATGAAAAGTTTTCTCTAAACACTTATATAAACACTTTGGGTTTGTGGGCCAAAATTTTCCTTCCAAGCCCACTTTCTTCCCTTTCATATTCCCTCTCAGATTTTTCTCTGTCTTTGGCTCAGAAAAGTGTTCCCTAGCACTGCCCCAGTGTGCTTCACACTTGCCTGCCCACATGGCATTTCCAGAAGAATAAAACCAAGAGAGCTGAAATCATTCAAAGGATCTTTCCCCTGAGATTTGCAGTGCAGTTCTGTAGCACTGAGATGTGTGCTCTGCAGTTTGTGGAGAAGCACACAGTGGGTTTTTTTTCTTTTTAATTCCATGTGTAAGTTGGTTTTTGGCTCCTAAGCACACCATTATTTTCAGGAGTTGTGCTTTCTGGGAAGGGGCTATTGCCATTCCTCCTGCACCGGTGTCTCCAGCCACCTTGCTGATGAGTGGCAGAAGATAACAGCTTTCAAAAAGGCATAATCATGCAATTTGAGTGAAGAGTGCATTTGGCATGGCTAATTCACCCATTACAGCACTTGTTAAATGAGAGGAGAGGAGCCCTCAAGTAGCTGGTGCTTCATGGATTAATCTTTCCTTCGTCTCTCATCAAAATCTTACTACACTTGAAGGCAGTGAGATTATTGGTTTCTTTTTTTTGATGGTGATCACCCCATTCCTTGAGGGGATCTCCCCTCAGGGTGAGCACTGTGGGATTCCATTCCCAGTGGCAGTGAGAGCTCTGCTGAGCAGTGTGTTCTCTTGGTGACCTGCAGAGTCCCACTGCTCTGTGACGAACCACATCTGCTGCCTCCTCTCTGATCCACCCTCCCTGCTTCTGCATCTTGGCATTGAATTCAGAGACAATTTTCATCTTTTCCATTTTTTTTCTGACACTTCAGAGCAAAACACAGCTTTTTCTGGAAATGACATGCTTTCTCACACTTTGTTCTTGGAAAACACAAACCTGTGGGTTTGGACAAACCGGTGTTTAGACAGCCTGTGCCAGTGCTTGACAATCCTTCTGGTGGAGAAATTTTCTCTAATATCAGTCTAAACCTCTCCTGGTGCAGCTTGAGGCCATCTCCTCTTGTCCTGTCACTAGTTACCCGGAACCAGAGCCTGACCCCACCTGACTCCAACCCCCTTTATGGCAGTTGTAGAGAGTGGGAAGGTTCCCCCTGACTCCAGGCTGAGTGCCCCCAGCTCCCTCAGCCACTCCACACAGGACATACTTTCTTGGCCTTTCCTCAGCTCCATTGCCCTTCTCTGGACACACTCCAGCATCTCAGTGTCTCTTGTCATGAGAGGCCCAAAATTGAACCCAGGACTCTAGGCTCCTCACCAGTGCCTGGCACAGAGGGACAGTCACTGCTCTGGTCCCACTGGCCACACCATTGCTGGTACAAGCCAGGATGGCATTGGCCTTCTTGCCCAGCTGGGCATGCACTGGCTCATGTTCAGCCACTGTCAGCAGCACCCCCAGGTCATTCTCCACCATTTTCCACCCAACAGCACTGCAAGGGCTTGTTATGACTCAAGTGCAGGACACATCACTTCACCATGTTGAACCTTATACCATTGACCTCAGCCTGCCCAGATCCCTCTGCAGATCCTTTCTTCCTCCAGCAGATCATCAGGTCAGTTGTAAAGATGAGTTTTCTGGAAGAAAACTTTATACTGTACCTGCACTATCATTATATTGACAACTGTATGTTGTCATCATCTGGCTGTTCATCATCACCTAATCCATGGGCTGTACCCTGAGCACAATGAACCTGTTGGTGTCCAACTGCTGCAGAAACTGTTTGTGTGCATGGGCAGGGAGTGTTATTCACCTCAAGAAGTAGAACACAAATACAAGAATTGCTTATATAAAAGCTGTGCCTGAACTGTAGAGAGGAAAAGAAATAAGACAGCTTCTATGCAGGGAGAAGGTGCAAATAAACCCATGTGGAGGTCAGAGAACATAACAATTTTAAGCAGTGTATGTACTTGTGAGTTTGGATAGTTGGCCAGTCACAGATGTGCACTATGAAAAGCAGATTTTCAATATAAAAGAAAGGTTTAATCTTTCTTCTTTCCTCTGCACCTTGAGGTTGTTTTCTAAAGCTCCTGCTCAGCTCACATCTCCTTGCCTATTGGACAGATGCTTTGAGAGGAGATCACTAGTCAGCTTGAAAGTCTGAATGAAGAGTAAAGACACCCTTCAAAGGACTTGCTTGTGTGGTCTTGGCTGGCTTGCTTAATCTTGAAAAACTAACAAGGCCAAAGATGCATAAGATTGTATGAACATCCCACCCAGTTTCAATCCTATATGATCAAAGGGATAACAGGAGTGCAGAATTAATGCAGTACCATGCACACACTTGACGTTGTTACTGGCAGTGATTGAACTTGAAAAGCTTGAGATGGAGTTCAAATGAGCATCTGGGGGTTTCAAAACTTCTGAAAAATTACACTTGAAAATAGAAAGAGGAAAAAAAAAAAGCCAGAAAGAGATACAATCACAGCAGAAACTGCTAATGAGATCTCATGCAAAATATTTTCTTGCCACGATCTATTTCCAGATGGATTTGTAATACTCAGATTGTAATTTGTGTGCATAGGATCTTTTTTTGTGCTTTCAACTCAGTAATATCAGCATAAGGAAAAGACTTCACAAACTTCAGAGACTGAGTTGTAGTTCACCCTGAAACCAGAGTTGCTCTCAGTGCTCTCTGTACGAACTCATTGCTCACTGGTAGAGTCAGAAAGCTAAAAAGTTCATCTGACAGAAAAAAAGAAATTCCAGTTTGTTTGAATTAGGATTCATTTCCTTGGTGCCTATAGTGTTTCCTCATTAACACCAAGCCTCTGTGGTTCCTATTAAATTTATCTACAGACACTAATCTTTTAACGTGCATTTTAAATCTCTGCACCTACATTTCATTTGTCAGCCACATTTTCTGCACCTTTAGACCCCAGAATTCAATCAGTTCCAAATTGTGTTCATAGGGAAAAAAAAGAAAAGAGAAAAAAAAGACAAGGTTCTAAAATATACTTCATTTTTTTTGTTCATATTCATGATACAAAAGGTTTTACTGATCTAGAATGAGGTCTTCTCTGAACAAAGACATGTAATGCAAGATTGGTTATGGATTTTGAGCTGGTTATAAATTCAAAAGGAAAAGAGAGTGAATATGCACTTCCTTGTTAATAATTAAGATGCTTTCTGTTTTTCTGTTTGCTCCAGCTCTGCATGCAGTACTGGCCAGAGAAGACATCCTGTTGTTATGGCCCTATCCAAGTCGAGTTTGTGTCAGCAGACATTGATGAAGATATCATCAACCGGATATTCCGGATCTGCAACATGGCCAGGGTAAGATCAGGGAAATCTCACATTCCCTATTTATTCTAAACAATATATTTTGGCATGAGGAAGAGGCAGAGCCAAGACTTGTGGTTTAGAGATGCTGAATCTCTCACCTAGGAACAAAATTCCACTGTAGCTACTTCCTTTAATTAACATTTAATCAGTCTGCATCGCTAAAGGACTCTTGGCTGAAAGCAAAAAGTGGATGATGTGAACTGAAAATCTGTATTTAAATGGTAAGCATTTTTCTGTGTGTATCTGAGAACAATTCATCACTTAGTAGCCAATATAAAACCATCAGTATGGTAGGAAATAAAGTGGGATAGTGTCAGCAGCTCTCCATCTGTCAGCTACTAGGCAGCATCTCTGAAGACAGATGCAATGTTTACTGGCTAGACTGGGATTCCCAATTGCCTCTGTTTTCCCTATAAATAAGCAACTGCCATTTCTGTAAGCAACTTTTTGCCTGTATCCCTCAGCCCCAGGACTGCTGAAATGGTAGAAACAAAGTTTATCTGCACACTGGGCCCAGACAATCCAACTTCAGGGCTGCAGGAAAGGGCTTCAGTAGAGGATTTTGCTCTCGTTAGTTGTTTGCCAGATTTATTGTGTTTCCTTTGTTGTTCCTTTTCATTTTTTTTGATCAGAAATGGAAGCAGGCTCCACAAATTACATCTCCATGAAGCTTAGCACATCAGTCTCTGTATGGTCAAAGCCTGTGCAGCAGTTCAGTTGGGACATTGCACAGTGTACCTCGTGTCCAGCTACACAAGCCTTAGTCTGATCAGCTATATAACTCCAAGGCTGTCCCTGGTTCCAAGGCAATTGGCCTGGAACATAGGAATGTGTCTAATATCTAACTGATTTCTCAAGGGCCAACCTGAGAGGAGCTGGCCCATGAATGCATGGCTGGCAGGGTGGATGCTGTGAACTCACAGCTCTCTGCCCTGACCTACATTCAACACCAATGGCCACTGCCAACATCTTTATGAGGATCCTTTTCCTCCACAGTCCCCAGAGAGTTTTTGAAGGCTGCCTTTGCTTCTTGTGGCACAGCTAAGTTCCAGCACAGACAACCATGAAAGAGACATTTGACCTATTTGTACAGTTTGATGAAACTTTGTTCTGGAAACCAAACAAGGGATTCTATGCACCCAGATAGAACACCTGGTTCTGTTATAGCTTAGGTCATCATTGTTATCCAGATTATGGAAAAGTCCTTGTAGCCACACTGTGTCAGGTACCCAGAGTGGAGTACATGGAATCATATATATGTCAGATATATATCATGTCAGATATATATCATATCATATATATATCATATATATCAGAATCTTATATATATGTCAGATAGGCAGAATCATAGAATCATAGAATTTTAGAAGTTGAAACCCCCTGCCCTGGGCAGGGACACCTCCCACCAGAGCAGGTTGCTCAAGGCTTTAGCCAACCTGGCTGTGAACACTGCCAGGGCTGGGGCAGCCACAGCCTCCCTGGGCAACCTGGGCCAGTGTCTTACCACCCTCACAGCTAAAATTTCTTTCTAATATTTAACCTAAATTTCCCCTCTTTCAATTTTTCCCCATTGCACCTTGTCCTGTCACTACAGTTCCTAACCAAATGTCCCTCTCCAGCTTCCTTGTTGCTCCTTCAAATACTAGAAAGTTGCTCTGAGCTCTCCACACAATCTTCTCTTCTCCAGTCAATATAATGATATAGCAGCTGCAGAGGGGATCCCAGTTTGACCCTGTCCCTCTGCTCCCTGCCCTGTTCCATTCAGCATGTTGGCAATGGTGTTTGTTTTAGCCCCAGGATGGCTATCGCATCGTGCAGCACCTGCAGTACATCGGCTGGGCAGCCCCAGCCTACAGGGACACCCCTCCTTCCAAACGCTCCCTCCTCAAGGTGGTCAGAAGGCTGGAGAAGTGGCAGGAGCAGTATGATGGGAGAGATGGGAGGACTGTTGTCCACTGCCTGTAAGTAGGACTGGAAAATGTCTGTCACCTCACACAGTGCCATCTGAAGAGCACTGATTGTGGATCTGGAAAGCTGCTGGTTTGCCAGGCATCACCCGGGGAAAATGAAAATCTATTATACTTGTAATGCACTTCAGGTTGAATGTTGTGCTGCATTATAGCATCATGCCCCAGAAATTTTACTGATTGCGGTGAGGTATAGCTCAAAAAGCTCTGCTACATCTCGTTGTGTAGATAGGTCTCATGACTGGAGCCCAGACAGAACTGATGCAGCACTGCCATGTGTGCAGCTCTGTCCACAGAGCTGCTGTGAGCCCCAGAGCAGTGAGGAGCAGCTCTGCTGTCTCTGGGCTTCCCTGTCCACCACTGCCAGGAATCTCTTAGCCCTCCCATCCCCATCTCCTGCCCTGAAGGTCTCCACTTTCATAGACTCACAGAATGTTTTGGGTTGAAAAGGACCCAAAGACTAGCTCATTCCACCCAGGCAGGGACACCTTCCACTAGCCCAGGTTGCCCCAAGTCCCATCTAACCTGTCCTTAAACACCCCCAGGGATGGAGCAGCCACAGCTTCTCTAGGCAACCTGTGCCAGTGCCTCAGCATCCTCACAGGGGAGATTTTCTTCCTAATATCTAACCCAGCCTTCTGTCAGTTTGAAGCCATTCCCCTTGTCCTGTCACTCCATGCCCTTGTCCAAAGTCCCTCCCCAGCTTTCTTGTAGCCCCTGTAGGAACACAAACCCTTGAATGTCCATGTCCAGTCCTTACATTACAGACTTTTCTTAGTGTCCATGGGGTGTGAGCTGTGTGTCAGCTGTACTTTTGGTCCCTCAGTCTTACCAGCTTCACCTTCACCTCTTTTCTCCTGCTCCCAGGAATGGTGGGGGACGCAGCGGCACCTTCTGTGCCATCTGCAGTGTGTGTGAAATGATCCAACAGCAAAATATCATTGACGTGTTCCACATAGTGAAGACACTACGGAATAACAAATCCAACATGGTAGAGTCACTGGTAAGCCTTTTTTTTTTTCTGTGTCTCCCCCCTCCTAGTGTGTGCAAGGGCCTTTAGGATAGGTTAAAAAAAATGTCATGGCTTAGTTCAGGATGAATCAAAATGAATCAGAACACGAAGCCATCAGAATGAAAATTGGTGCTGGTTTAGCATGTGCAATGAATCCTCCTGCTTCTCTCTCTGAGCAGAGAGGATGGCTTGGCAGTGTGATGAACACTGCTTCCCATGCCCAGCTGCCTCCAGCAAGTCAGATCCCAAGGAGCTGGCACCATGGCTGTGGGCAGGGCTGGGATTTGTCCTCCTGTCCATGCATCTAGCCTGGGGCTGGATTCTGTGACATGCCTTGAAACTAGGAAGGGAGAACAGTCCAGACCCTAGGCCTTGCTCCCTGCAGCCCAGGAGATTAAACTGTCCTGAATTCAATCATCTCCATCGATCACACTGAATTCGTGCCTCAAAAGCAATGTGTGTGGTGAGGGCTGGAGGTGAATAATGAATAGTCCCTACTGGGGCTGTCTCTTTGAGTGCTTTTCTCTTCCATTGATGATACCATCTCCTAGTAATGCTTGTTTAGGATCACATAGAAATGCAATCAATGTTTGTCTGGTCCTGCCAAAGGGTATAAGAAAGAGAGAGGAGGTGGTTTTGCTTGTAGAACAAGGCTCTGAAGAATTTACCCATATCCTAATGTCATTTCTCTCTGTTCTCTCTTTCAGGAACAGTATAAATTTGTATACGAGGTTGCACTGGAATACTTGAGTTCCTTTTAGCCCAGCAAAGGGAGGGGAACCCCTGAAGTGCCAGACCCCAATCTCTGGCAGACACTTCTCCCCTCTCCCACACTGGAAGGCAGTAACAAGTGTGGGAAGAAAACCTCTCCTTCCCGGAGCAAGAGACTGAGGTTGCACAGACCTCTCTGGAAGGAGGAGATGATGCCTGTGTGTGCTGCTGCCTGCTTTCTATGGGAACATCTACTGCTTCTTAAATAACCTACTGTAAAAATTAGCAAAATGGGAGACAGGCTGAAAGACTGGACTTTCTAATCCCCCTCTGACTTCTCTCCTCTTTTGGATTGTATTTTTGCTCTGCTTGCTGCAGAGTGGGGAAGGAATGAAACCCTTAGGAAATTCTCTTTTAAATGGCTCCTTTTTAATTTATAATTTTGTTCTCAAATCCCAGTCTCTTAATTTTTTAATTTCATGCAGCAGTCATTTGGGAAAAACGAGATAGCCATAGGGGATACATAAAATGTTTCATTACGATTTGTCTACCTTATCTGTTCCCTTTTATTTGTTTTTCCAAATGAAAAGGCCAACACAGGAGGAAGAAAAAACCAACAAGGCTGGAATTCTCTTTCCACATGTAGCCCCTTTTAGCATGAAAATAGATGGTGGAGATGAGAAGCTGTTCATGGATTCACTGCCTCCACACAAATGTTTCCTCCCAGTTCCTGCTCGATTCCCAGGGCTGTGCATGAACCAGTTACATCTCTCTGGTCTGTGTTCCTTTCAGTGCTGGTGAAGCAATGCCAGTAAGGAGTTTCCCAGCCACTTGAACCTTAAGGTTCAATATTTGCATCAAACAAATTGCATTTGTCTTGCAACTTTGGTAACTTTGTTACCACATTTCTCAAGTATTTGCTGGGGTGCAGTGTGTCTTTGAAGAAACAGGGTATAAAGTAGGTATTATTGCTCATATACTATGTATTACTATTTTTTATTTATTATTTGTATTGCTGTAGAACTTAGGACCCCTAGTCATGACAGGACC